CACAAACTGATAAGCGTGTTCCGCTTTAGCTGAGCACCAAGTGAGCGTCCTCTCCTCGAAACAGAATGGAATTGTCCAGAGCGCTCGCAGCGCCCCCGCCAGCCACCGCCTCGGACACACGCTCCCAGTGGGTCTTTCATATTGCAGCGCACCGTACATGTGTGTGTACTGTAATGAAATCACGTAATCCTGATGTACAGAAGGTGAAGTTCTATCTTTATTGCACATAGGCGTCATATCTGACTTGTTTGTACTTCTAGGTTTTTTTTTTCTTGTTTCTTTTAGTTTCACAGATTTGCCAAATGAAGTGTCATTTCTTTTTCAATGTATCTGTGCCGTTACTCTGAGTGATCACAAATATCAGAGCTACGTACAAGGATCATCTGATCCGGTGTTGTTTATTTTATATTCACCGAAAAAAGCCGATAAACTTTTGTGGGCATAAATATATGCCGAAAAGAAACAAAAATTGTATTTGAAAATAAACACCGAAAAAGGTACGCCGAATTATGAAAAAATAGAAACCGAAAACGCTGAACCCTAGTGATAACCAGTTATGTATTCAGAAAATGTGATCTTACTTAGTCATACATACTGAGGATGCTATTTTGTAGTAGCTGTTTGTTTTCTCACAGCTGTGATAAAAAGGAGTGAATTATATATATTTCAGTGTAGTTCAGTGTGATGGTGAGTGCAAAGGAGTGAATTAAATATATATTGCAGTGTAGTTCAGTGTGATGGTGAGTGCAATAATAAAGTGTTCTTGTATAATTTTTTTTGTCAATGAGTACAATGTCTTGTTAAGGCACATATTTATGTTTAGCGTACTGTGTTCCAATTCAGGCTTCATTTTTAGCAGCCTGTAATACTTTAAATCTCCAACTTTACTTCTGAATTTCTCTAGTCAGGAGCTGAATTTGCAGCTCCTGCTGAGCAATCAGCAACCGCCTTTCTTCTGTTGCTGCCCTCCTTTCCTCCATCTGAATCTTTCGCTCTTCTGCCTGGAACTGCCGCTCCTCGGCCTGTGCCCGCCTTTCTTCCGCCAGAGCCTGCCGTGCTTCAGCGCGGTCCTTGCATCTTCTTGGTACTTGAGTTGCTCCAACGACATTTGCATCTCTCTCAGCGCCATGTCCCTTTCTTCAAGGGCGAAACGCCTATCTTCTCTTGCGAGTTCCTGCTCTGACCGGCGCTCAAGAAAGTCCATCTCAGACGATTGCTGCCTTCTTTTTCCTGTGTTAAAAAATACTGTGTCAACAATATGATACAGGGGTATATTCTACTGTGTAGTTGTCACTGCTTTGCGATGCCACCAGAAATGCCATTTCTAAGCTGGAGGTAGAAAGCCTGGCTTTGTATCTTCAGTTTTTAATTGCTATTGCTAGTTTAACAAACATTATGGGAAGGTATTCTAGCCAATGACATGTATAAGTGGCTTTTTGGTCCCTTTCATGATACTAAAGCTACTGGTGACATTACGCACTGTAATTTGAACTCTTGTTTCCTCACTTACGCCTGGCACCTGAAGATCTGGACGCCGGTGTAGGTGGCACGTTCTCATCAGTACCTGCACCACTTGGGGCATTATCAGGGCTCCTGACAGGCTGGGAGGGGGCTACGAAGTCCTCTTCTTCCTCTCTCTCTGGATTATCCATGTAAGCCTGCATGAGGAGGTTCAGTGCTGGCGAACCCTCCTCACCAGGGTCTGGGGATGCTAGAAAGAAAACAGTAAAATGAAATAAATCTGTAGCATTTCTGCTTCATATTTTATATAGCCGGCCAAGTAAGGCTGCCTCTCGGCCACTCAGGAGAGGTGTTGTAAGGCGAGGGCTTAAAATATATTTGAGTATCTCGGCTGTATAGGCTGGTAAATAACTGAAGAGGGAGTGAGCAAGAGTGAAGTGGGAGCTCAAGCATTTTGCTGGGACTGCCTCTCCCCCCTCCCCATCATACAGCATTTTGTCATGGGCAGGCAGCCCTTCCCCCCCCCCCCCCCCCTTCTCGAAATAAAATCCTGGCTACGTGCCTGTTGTGTCGTCCTCATCCCAATGACTTCCCAGAAACCTCAGTGTGACCATTAATAGTTTGCTAAGAGGCTTTGCTTCTTCACCAGCTTTTCAGGAAATGTTGGCTGCCATCCAGAAGCTTCTAGGAGAAGTACTTTCTTAACCCCATTTGCGTTATGTTTGCTCCTGCTTCATTCTGCTAAAGTTCACTCTCTGAAATGCGTAGCTAAGTAAAGACAGGAATGAGTTGCAATCAACTTTCATTTCCTGCTAGAATAAGGTGTGTTATTACCATACTGTTCTGGTTCTTCATCTGCATCGACCGCCGACATTGACGGCACTGGCAAGTGGGCGGTGCGGGCCACGGCTGCATCCCTTGCTGCCTTCGCTGCTCGCACCTGGGCAGCAGCTGAAGATTGTGGCCTGCGCTTGCAGGCGGCTGCTCCTGAGCGCCCCTTCCTTGGTGCAGTCTTCGGTCTATGTCCAAACTCCCGTGCAAGGTCGGATATCTCCTGGAGCAGCCGGTCTTTTTCTGCATACTGCTCCTCCGTCCCAGACCTAATGAAATGGATGATTTAAAATATTGATTTCTTCTGTGTTACTCAGCATTGTCACTCTCACTGCACCGGGTTGAATCACTAAAGAATAATCCACACTGAAAAAAAATAAGTGAAACTCTCAGCTAAGTAAAGCTGATTCCGTCAGCTATTCACCCCGACAATAATGGAACTTAGGAGTGTTTGGGTTTCATTTGGGTGTAATAAAATTTTTGAAAATATATATCAAATGTGTATTCAGTAAGCCCACATTTGTTGAAGGAATGCAATGCATAAGAAATCTTAAGTTAACATCAAGATTTCTTGTGCATTGAATTGAATGATGCTTTGTGCCTTCCATGGAGCAACATGCCCCATGTTCAAAATCTCTTAAAAAGCATAATTGTACGATGTGTGTACCCTCCTACTCCCCTTTTCTTTTTAGATAGCTTACACTTCTTGATTCCAATTCATATTTTAGTTGCATCTGGTGCATTTGATCATTAAAATTCAACCAAAGTTAAGATGCAGGCTAGGTCGCTCACAGGGTATTAGGAAAGCTGACACCCTTGTCATAGTACTGAACAAATATAAACGGTTGCCCATGCTTGCCTGCATGTAGGAAAGTGGGTGATATGATGAAAACATTTGCTACAAATTAGACAGCTCTCTCATTCGATCTTTTTATGTGCTTTTCCTTACAGCTGGGTTACCCAAAATCATACCGCACTTTTCCAGCCGGGCTTGGTGGTCTATGCTCTGAAATATTTGCGAGGAAGGCTTTTCTTACGCGCGAACGGCACGCGCGTACACGTGTAATCCAGCGCCCATGCCTACACACACAGGCCCGCCGCACGCACTAACGCAAGCGCACACGCAAGCGCACACGCAAGCGCACAGGCACCTTCTAGCGTGCACTGAAAAGGAGAGACAAAAATGCAACACTTACTTTCGCAAAATGGCTGTGTCCTGTTGTCGGAAATAGCCCAGCAGCAGGTCCACACGGTCCCGGATTGCCCGAATTGTGAAGTCCCGTGTTAGGGCCACTAGAAGATTGGTATAGACAAGAGTCCAGCCTTCGGGTGACGCAAAAGGGTTCACAGCTCGAACCTCGCGGAAAAGGCAGAGGTCTTCGTCGACTGTGAACCGCAGCCTGAGGGTTGCCGGCATGGTCCGTTGTTTCGCGGGGGCATCGGACGCAGCCGTCTTGTCGTGGAGAGCGGAAGAGCGGAACTGGCTTCCCACCCCGCTCTGCGCCGTCGAGAGCGGAACGTACGCTCCCTGCGGTAACTACGCTCCAACTCGGAGCGGGCCGCGCATGCGGAGTGGTGACTCCGCTCTCCGCAGAGCGGACCGGGCGCACGAAAACGGTCTACTATAACTCTCTAATAACAGAGCGTCGCGGGCGTCGAAGTCGGCGTGGCAGCACAGTCGAACGCTGGGGCGAAACTGACTCCGGCTTGCCACGCGGAGCCGCTTTTGTACACGCGTTGGCTTCTGGAACATTCGACGTAAAAGGTTCGACGCGTAGGACATTCTAAACTCGAATCAGCTAGACGGTTCTCGAATTCACCAGAACATCACATTACATTGCAAACAAAAATACGTAGCCGCGGCCAGGAATGGAACCCTGGCCCTTCGCGTGGGAGGCAAGCGCGATAACCGCTAGGCTACGGCCGCGCTGCCTACTTGGCGCGCGGCAATATGAGCTCTCCCGGCCAAACACCGACCGGAGCAGCGAAAACCCCGCATGCGGCGCGTCGAGCGTTGCCGCGTTATTCTGTTATCAAAGCGGTGTACGCAGGAAGTTTAATAGCATTCCGCGTTTTGGAACGTGAATCAGAAGCACGGCCGATTACAATCCCGCTTCCGGTTGTAGGTAAACGCAGATGGGGAAAACAAACGTATGTTTTCCCAGTTTACACAAATTATGTGTAAAAAATAAAATATTTCTATTAATGGTATCTTATTTCACAGCTATTTTTTTACAGTGCAGGCACAGTACAAACACCGCGATACGTTCACTGCCCTACAATTATTTAGCACACACAATGACGTTGCCGGTGTCCAAAACGCGCTCGAGATCCAAAAGCTTCGCAAGTTCTGTCAAGTTTTAAAACTTTTAACCACTTTTCTAAATATCAACCTGTTCGTCTTTCGAACACATGTCAGCATCACCGTCATCTGGGGTATGCTCTTGCTCTGGCCGCTTAGCTTTTCTAGCCAGATAAATGCATGCAAGCACGCTGAGCGACGTCAGCGAACGAGCCCCTGAATCCTCCGCCCAGCCATCTGCGTGGCGTTGGAGTTGCGAATAGGCATTGTCCAGTGAGGGCTGGTAACGGACCGAGAAAGACTTCCTCAATGTGTAAACAATATTAGGCCGTGTTTTACGAACACAACATTTCACACTTGTTTAAGATTTCCCGGAGCGGTTCCTCACTCTCGAAAATTTTGGTACCTGTGGTAATTCCCTTGAGGATGATCGGTAGTTCCGTAATGCTCTTCAGCCACGAGATGGCGTCCCAAGTCAGTGAAGGATCAAGGACCAACTCCTTGTACACCTCTGATGGATTTACTGATGTGCCTTCGAAGCTGAAAAGAGCGATCGTTTACATTTGTTCAGAACACAGTAAGAAGCCGCGCGCTTCGGTCGGGGAACGAACATGTTGTGTACTATTTTACCCAGACGATTTTGCGAGAAAATAGCCGTCGCGTGGCCTTACGTCATCTGACGTCGCCATATCACATGATACGAAAAGGTAACACCATGTACATCACGGTGTCGCGTAATTGGGCATCACATGATGTCAGTCCACGTGAAACGATTACGTCAGTGACCTGAAGTGACACGACGTGGTCACGTGGCTGGAGATCACGTTACCTCGTGTCACATGACGTCAGGTCACGTGGCTTCAATGTCCCCCTCCCCCTTCCACATGCATAGACCGTTTTCAAAACCCCCATCAAGCACCATTGCCGGCTGGCATTTCTCGGCCATGAGGCATGTGATTGGATCCGAGCCTCCCCGAACGATGACGTGGCACTAATTCTCGACCCGAGCTGAGCCGAGCTTACGTCGAACGCTAACGAAACCCTCGTCTTCAATAGATTTTGTGACCACGTGACCAAACAATGGCGGACTCTGATAATCATAGCGGCAGCTACTAAATGGTGCGAACTGTTGAAAATTGTCTGTTGCATTTAAATCATGTAGGGTCATTTGATGGTGTGTACGTGTCCCTTGGGTTCGAATTAGGGCTATTCATTATCTTATTATTGCCGTCAATAATTATCCAGGGGAATATAACAATATATCGATCTGTTCTGCTTAAATATTTATTTACAACGTTTTTGCAAAGAAACTGCCGAGAGAGTGTGCGAGGGACGAATATCCTAGAATCATGGGCATTGCAAAACATCCCCTAGATCACTGCGGCGTAACGAAGCTAAAAGGCCTGTCTGGAAATGAGCACATGTATCTTGTAGTTAGCTTTTCTGCCTCCATAATATATCAACATCTGAACGGTGGTAAGTGTTCGTAGCCTCCATAATAGCAAGATGTTCCTGGAATCTCGCTAATATGAGATCGCTACTTTCAGGAAGGGATTCTGATTTTTAACTTGCATTTATGTTTAAATAACAGCCTTTACTTATTTGTGACGTTTTCATGTTCCACGAGCAATTTTTTGTTGTTAGAAGTAGTAGTCTGTACCCGCCATAGTATTTCGGCCCTGCAGGTTGATTTTATATGTAAACAAATAAATAAATCCATAGGGACTATGCATTTTCAATTTTTGTTTTTAGGTTTTTGTTTAGATAAAGTTATTCCCGGTAGCTGATGAAGTTCACAGTGCACAACAAAATTCCAAGTTATATTTTGAGCCATTGCCTTAAAAAAAAATTAGAGTACGAATGTTGGTTCAGGTTAAAACTTAAAGATGAAAGGAAGAAACAGTGAACTTATGAATGAGGTACATTTCTAATAATGTGGTTTTAATTAAATATTTAAAATTCAACTTGCAATGCAATCAGAAATAATTATAACAAAAAGCATTTGTTAAAAATTAGGGAAATGCCATCAAACTTTAAGATTAGAGTATGCACCCTATCATTTTGTTATAGTTCGTGGTGCAGTTATGTACATGAGCAGAAATGAAATCAACATATTTTTTCAGATCTAGATAGCCTTCTGGCGCGTTTTTATTAAAATTTTGAATTAACACTTTGAATAATAATAGCCGCATAATGATACAGGAACGCTTCAATGTTATTCAACAATCAATTAATGCATTTTGCCTTGCTATTTCTGGAGACATTGTCAGTTCGATTGAAACATAAATGGCGGACCTAGGTTAAAATTCGTGCTACATAAATGTTCTGAAGAGTACCCATTCAGCTTTTAAAAATTTCCTTGTAAACGGTACCTTAAAATATCGCTCAGATATCAAAAACATGAAAACAAAGTATTAGATTGGTGCCAGAATCCAACGCACTTCGGTACTCTGGGCGGTTTGAAACCGCTCTTGGTCTTGCTACTGCTCTTTCCAGGCACTGGTAGATCCACAGTGACTACGAGAGCCCTATAGCCAGCCTTTTCGGCCCGAATCACGAGGGCCTTGGTGACTTCACGATCGGGGGAAATGTACAGCTGGAACCACTGAAGTCCCTCTGGCGCGGCCTGCCTCACGTCTTCGAAGGAGGTGGTGCTGTAGATGCTCAGCACCATCAGGGTACCAGCTCTCCGGGCCGCTGTGGATAGAACACGGAAGGTGAAAATTCAGATACCGCAAGTTTTTTGTTTACAGCGGTAGCTGTAGTGCCCCTTCCCTGCAAAAACAAATGCTCATGTAAGAATGCAAAACACCACTCTACAGCAGAGGCACTGATATCCCTCTCTACGTCATCTCTGTCTCTGTCAATAGACAGCACACCTTGCGTGGTCCTTGGCCCTTTTCCCCCTTTTCGCCAAATAGTAGTTGTTCAAGACTGTTCTACAGGGCATTGGGGATAGGAACTGCGAAGCAAGTTTCATAGATATATTCTTTTTTTCTAGTATACTTTTATCTCGGCGGCGTTGGTTGTCAGCGTAAAAACGCACTCTTGTTTTTTTTTTTACAAAATAAGTCAGTACTAGGTGTGCCAGAAAGAGACTCGGATCACAAAATGCTTGGTTAGCGACGACTCTGGTTTTAGCTGAGATTGCCGAACATATACGCGACTATACATGGCTTGCACTGGTGCCACATCATGACCATTTTGAAGCGTCTCGCTGCTGCGCGTGTACCGTGTGTAGCGATTTCTTACCAGTGAATTCGTTTTTCTCAACAAAAACAAATAGGAATGACCATTAGTACGGTGGGAGTATGCCACGTGCAAGTCATGTATTCAAGAGGCGTACCATATTGGTAATTTTCAACAGGGGTTCGGTAAACTTCCCTTTGAGCTTTGTTTGTTTTATGCAGTTCCACCGGTGTCGCTTATAGTAAATTCTTACTCAGAGACACTCGGTGAAACATTGAGGATTTTCAGTCTAATATGCCGTCAACTTTGAAGCGGCTTTTATAACGCTGATCTTTCTAGGATGAATCGAAAGCAACTGTAATTTCTCCCAGCAGGACGAAAGATGGTGCACATAATTCCTGTACAACTAGTGATTTTCCATGTATCAGCTATTCAAAACAGTGGGAAGCACTATTGATCATCACATACGTGTTTGAATAAACCCTGGATAAAACACACACACACACACACACACACACACTGAAGTTTTGTGTTGATCATTTAACAGTTCTTAAATTTAATTTTTTGTTATATAAAAGACAAACCTTTTTTGCTGGGTTGAATCAACCTTGTAAACGTTCCTTGTCCCTTAATGTTATATTAATAGTTTTATGTATTCCTCTGCTCCACTCACATTGTTCTTGATTTAAATTGGGTTTTAATATCGAAAATAAACCGTACTTGTTTTTAGAGCGCAGCTCTTAGGCGCCTGTTTCCGGCTTGAGTGGCGTCGCCGTCGCCGTTGCCGTCGGCGTAGCCGCGCGCGTTGCATTATGGGAATAATGCAAGCGGGTGTAACCCCACTTTCCACTATGGAAAAATTTCCCCGCTAAATTTGGCTGGGAAATGTTCCCCCTAAATTAAAAGGGGAAATTTTTCAGCCAAATTTAGCCGGAAAATTTTCCGTTAAATTTAGCGGGGCAATTTTCGGCGAAACTTAGCGGTAACATTTCCCCGCTAAATTTAGGGGAAAACTTTAAGCGCAAAATTTAGAAAAAAACAACCGCGCTAAATTTATTTGAAAAATTTCCCGCCAAATTTAGCAGAAAAATTCCCCCTAAATTCAGCGGAAAACATTTCCCGCAAAATTTAGCGGAAACATTTTCCTGCTCCAAGTTTATTTGAAAAATTTCCCGCAAAATTTAGCGGGAAAAAATGTCCTGCTAAGTTTAGTAAAAATATTCTGCCAACAAATTTAGCGGAAAACTTTCCCTGCTAAAGTTAGAGGGAACATTTCCCGCTAAATCAAGCGAGAAATTTTACCCGCTAAATTTAGCCGAAACATTTCCCGCTAAATTTAGCGCAAAAAGTTTCTTTGGTAAATTTAGCAGGAAAAGTTCCTTGAGCAGGAAAATGTTACCACTAAATTTAACGGGAAATTTTCCCTCGATGTTTTAGAACAATTTCCCGCTAAATTTAGCGAAAAATTTCCCTGCTAAAGTTAGAGGGAAAATTTCCCGCTAAAGTAAGCGAGAAATTTTACCCGCTAAATTTAGCCGAAAAATTTCCTGCTAAATTTAGCAGAAAAAGTTTTTTTGGTAAATTTAGCTCAAAAAGTTTCTTTGGTAAATTTGGCGGGAAAAGTTCTTTTAGCGGGGAAATGTTACCGCTAAATTTAACGGGAAATTTTCCCTCGATATTTTAGAACAACTTCCCGCTAAATTTAGCGAAAAATTTCCGAAAATGGGAGGGGAAGAGAGGAGGTGCGGAGGGGGAGGAGGAGCATACCCTGCCCTCTGTACCCTCTTTTCTTCCTCATGAGCTGCTGTCCAATTCGGCATTACAGAAAATTGTAAACGTCTTTCATTTCTTTTTAAACAAGAGCCTTTGGATATTTTCTAATTCGTTTGTTTTTGCGGGAATTCGCCAATGCATTTTCTTGATGTTGGCACATTAAAGTAAACATGTAAGAGATGTCCGTAACAAACACATCTGCAACTGTTTTACACTCTTTGTTGTTACTTTACCAGCTTTGTCCTTCCTGGAATTTCCGAGTATTCTTCAAAACTATAAGGTGTGATATAACTGTAATCATTAGTGGACGCTTAGACTTCTCGAAGTGCGGACTTACCTCTGGCTGTGGCTAATTCCCCGTCTGAATGCGCCATCTTTTGGAAAGCCGTTGGTGAGATTGCAAGCGGCATGGAAAGCCTTTGATCTCCCAGCAGAGTGACTTCCATGTTTCTCTGAGCCACGTTCTTGAGTACCCTTGGCCTCAGGCGTAACCTTTGGGAACAAAGCGATAACGCTGTAATTTATCCAAAGCACCTTTAAAAACAATTCAGCGCGTATACAAAATAATTTTCTCTTTCTGTGTCAAAAAGTGAGCACGGGCTCCCTAACCAAAGTAGACAATCAAGAAGAACCCCTAAATCCACAAGAAGCATCAAAGGACAGAGAAGCCATTACCTTTTTTTCGACGGGTTTCACCATTAATCAACGGGTTTTACTATTTCAATATGAGGTAGGATATTCTTTTTTCAGAAATAGTTGAGGAATGTTTGATCCAAAAATGTTTTAAAGTATAAAACACAAAAGAAACGAACTGTTTCTAGTGACCTTCTGTTCACCTATAGATTAGAAGAGCAGCCGCTGTGACGACACAGTCGAGTGTGCCTTGTATATTGTTCCACGGAAAGAAGGGAGTGCGACCTAAAAGTTGCCTTCGTCATGAATATATTAGGAATGAGGCATTTCTTAAACCGTGGTCACTCTGCTAACACATTTAGATGCCTTCATATCCGCGGATTACACTGATTATCCGCGGATATCCGAAGTCAATTGGCCGACGCCGATAAAAAAAAAATTAATCAGATTTGGCGGATTGCGGACCGGGTCCGCGTGCCAGGGGCTGCCGATGCGGATCGGATACGGAAATCAGCGGGTCCGGATCAACATTTTTGCCGAGGCGGTTCATTAACGTGTCCGAACACAGAGTGTAGAGTGAATAAATTGATTGATATACTGATTAGGGTTTCATGGAGCAAGGGCTGCTAAGGCCAAGAAGCACCGAAAGCGTGCACTAATGTGGAAGTAGAGGTTTGGAAAGTGAAGGAGCTATAGTGACTGATGATGTCATAAAACTGTTCATGGGATTTTATAAGTGTATACGGGATAGACACGAGTTCATAGAGTGAATTAGAGTTATAATCAATGTGTGAGACAGAAGCTATTACAAAAAAAAGTAAACACATAGCTTTGCCAAGTCAGCGGTTCATCACCAAGTAAAATGACTACATGAAGTAGAGTATGGCATTTATATATTCTCGAAACTGCTTAAAACATCCTTGTTCATACATGGGGCATTCATGTAGGATGTGCAAGATAGAGGAGCGTTGCAGTAATCACACTTTGGACATCCTCTTTGCGCAAGAGGGGCCCGTGGGTGAGACACTTATGACCATTCCGTAGCCGCCACAGGACCACCTCATAAATGTGTTCCTAATGCCGGGCACTCACCCACTCACATAGAAAGGGTTTTACAACATACATGTTGTTATAGGTTTCATTATTCTAGTCACATTGCAACTTTGCTCGAATGCAACGCTTCAAAGAGGTGTGGTAGTTTTTGTATGGTATTTTATGTGTATCTACTTGTCTCTCATCAGCAGAAGTTGCAGCCCAATCGACCTTTTAATTTCTTGAAATGCCCACGTGGCTTGGGACCCAGCAGAAAATGATTTTAATGTTGTTGTATGAAGCAGCGATAACCTTATTTTGTAGTTCTAGAGCAAGGGAGGTTTGAGGTGGTGCGTCACTCATGTAATTGCTCTGAATGAGCTCGAAGAAGTTTTGTAAACAACTGAGTGGCGGCGTCTTTTCTTGGTTGCATAATCAACAGCTGACAACAGACGAGACGATAGAGCTCTGCTGTTAGTATGGTGGCTGAAGTGGGGATTCTATTGACTTGCTACACAGATGGCCCTATTATAGCGCAGCCAACAACCAAGTTTGTTTCATCCCTATCTGTATAAGGACTTATTTACTGCCAGTGCGTCCTATATACTTTCTGTGCCCTGTATATCGTTGCTTTCACCTCTCATGGCGACCGCGTGACGGCTCCAGGTTAACAGGGCACATCACCGTCATCACGCGTAGTGTGCCTAAATTTTAGAGTGTTTACAACTGCTCGATTGGGGTCACATAGTCGCGATTGCAGACGAACTTCAAGGAGGGAAACAAAGCGTTGGTCGTCAGCAAGCGTCTCCACCTTTCCGCCCGCTTTTCTTCTTGTCACGTCACAATGTTGCACGCGCACTTGCAAACGCTCTTTAAGTGCTTAGTTGCTCCCTCTCATATATATTCTCTCTAAGTACGCGCTGTGTCTACGTCGTCTACTTCGGCCGCCTCGGTTTGTTTTGCGCTTGGCGGTCCGCGTTCAACATCGTCTGCCTGCGCTTGGTAGCAAAAATCTATTAAAATGGCTCACTGTAGCACGCCTAGATGCAACTCGGATAAAAGAGAAGAAAAAAAAAGCCTGTAGGGCTTTTTTTTTTTTGGCTTGCTGGCTTGCTGCGTTCCGACGAGAAAACTGGACATCGAATGCGACGTCGTGCTACAGGTATGCAGCGAGCAGCAGAACGTATGACGTCGTCTTTTTCCGATATAGCGGAACGTTTAAATGTCGAATAGGTCAATCACAGCGCCAGAATTTTGTCATGGCCACATGCTTTTCAGAATGCGCGGAATGTATACACGTTTGCAAGTCCGGTCTCAGGGCGCCGCCATCTTCCTCAGTGGGGTGCGCTCTCGGGAGCGGCCATAATCCGATTACGACGCCTTAGCAAGGCTTCGTAATCGGATTATGACTGGTCCAAGCGCACCCCAGACCGGCAAGATGGCAGCGCCCTGAAGCCGGACTTGCAAACGTGTATAGGAACCGTGCGGATCTAATTCAAGCCCCGACCAGGGCGCCCCTAGCGGCAAACGGGTCCGTTGCATCGGGCATCTTCTGCCAGTCGCTGCGTTGGTTGAGCGTTGTAGTGGGTTAGCGCTGTATTTTCTGAGATGGCTATTCCGCACCAAGAAAGCCGCAACAATTGCTGCGTGGTCGGCGAGATCGCGCACGCCACGAAGTACTAACTACATCGTCCCTTCGAAGCCGTACGAGGCGGAGTACTGCGCGACCTGGGTACGACTTGTGCGTCCATACAGGTTAGTGGTGTTTCTTACCTTCCAGTTCGCGCTTTGTTTAAGCTGCTGACAAATAATACAATTAACTTTTTTTCTCTTCTAGCGACGATGAAACAGCATCGACACCGACGGCAAACTCTAAAGTATGCAACAAATACTTCACCGGAATCGAGAAGCGGAATGCGGTCGCCCTCCTAAGCCTACCGTTGGATGTTTCCATCAGCCTACAGGAAGACAGTAAAGAGAATCGCGGAACGGCGCGAAAAAAAATCGCCCAGTTATTGTCAAGCTGATACAGAAATAAACGTACATAACTACCGCAGTCCACTCAACGCCAACAAAATTTTTTTGCGGGCGCGCTTAATTTTGTTTGCAGAGTACGGCGCTCCGTGACATCCACTTGTCCGTCGAAACGGACCTCCTTCACGTCGCACACACGGCCAGGTTCATGAAACAGTTTTCTCTTCGTCATATTGGCACCACGGAAGAAGCTTTCTGGATTCGTAACCGCCTTAAACCCCGTCGTGATCACACCGGGAACACTGTCCGCTGTGCTGCTTATCGCCACTGCTTCCCCCCCGATGATTCTGCATCGGCTACCGGAGAAGCTTTCCGGATTCGTAGTCGCCCACTGTCCTCTGTGCTGTTCGTTGCTATTACTTCGCGATGATTCTGGGCCGGCGGCACCGGCTTCCGAAGGAACTTTCCGAACTCGTAACTGCCTTAAATTCCGTCGTATTCACGACGGGGACACGGTCCGCCGTGCTGTTCGTCGCCATTGCTGCCCGATGCTCCTGCGGCGGCTACCGCCAGGTCGCGGCGAACAATAGGCGACCGCCGCGACACGGCCGGCTTGCTCGCTTCCTATGGCGCTAGCGTACTGTCGCCTGTTCGGAACAACCACTGATCTCAATGACAATTGCTGGATCGCGCTTGCCGCTCCCGCAAGTGAAGCCACCGGACGCAACCCCGCTGGGACACGATTTTCTGTTTTGCTAGCCTTTCGCTGCGGTTTTCCAGCGTGCTGTAGACACGTTTTCTACTCGTTCGTCGTCATTCGCCGAAGAAGTTTTTTGAGACTCCGTGTATTGTTGAGACTTGCCGTTGTGAACACGTGGAAAATTTTACGAAAGTGCAGTGTCGCAGGAAAAAGGCACAACGCGTCGAAAGGAAGGGCTGGCGTCGTGTTCAAAGCTTCCTTGGCACGCCGAAGTGCCGTGTCTCTGTGCCTTCGCGCGCTTGGATACCGACCAAGAACCGACGCCGTGTGAATGTGCTTAGCGAGTTCAATGTGCGTGAAGCCGTATCAAAAGGTACAACTCGTCGAAAACGTGTCGCCGGTGTCGCGGCGTGATCAAAGCTTCCTTGGCACGCCGAGTGATGCATCTTTGTGCCTTCGCACGCTTGGATACCGGTCAAGAATTGACGCCGCGCCAAAGTTCTGAACGTGTGTCGCGCGTAGATGCCTGTAGATCATTTATATATATCGGCCACGGAGTTCTGGATCGTCCAGCTTTTCCGGTGAGTTGCTATCAATAAAAGGGGGAGATCTGTACGTGTTCTTATGTACTATATTAACCATGGCTATGTCCCAAATCTACTCTAATAGATTCCGTGGGAGCACGAATAGGGCAACGTTGTGGAGCCAGGGGGGTTTTCGAAAGCAAAAGTACAAGACGGCGAGAATGAAAATCTTTGAAGCGCGGCCGATATAGTCGTGTGCAATCTGTTGACCAATTACAATTAGGCGAGCCGCGCTCAAACGTCAAGTGCAATTAAGTAGGTTGATAATAAGCCAGCACTGATCAGTGATGAGGAGCTGTTGTGCACGGTATTGTGTAAATCGTCTAAGGACGAAAAAAAAGGCGTACCTTCCCCCCATCTTCCGTCGCTAGTGGACGCTGGATTAGGCTCGTTCCTAAACCGCGAGGGGAAAAGACGCTGATCCAGAGGCACGAACAGCTTCACGCACATTGCACTTGCTAAACACATACACACGGCGTCGGTTCTTGGTCGGTATCCAAGCGTGCGAAGGCACAGAGACACGGCACTTCGGCGTGCCAAGGAAACTTTGAACACGCCGCCAGCCCTTC